TATCTATGAAATATATGTACTTGTAAAGAGCTTCTTGTAATTGTAATAAATATGTTTTGAGTTTAAAATGCAGTAGGAGTTATGCAACCTTGCAATCTTACTCAATCATTATAAGGAATCAGAATACGCTACCTGCCACCATTCAACACATGGTAACCTGCCAGCCAATCCCAAAGTAGTGAACAAAACCCTCACAGTAATTTCGAAATTTCAGGTAGTCAGTGAGTTTTCTCTTATTTTTGTTCAAGGTCTATTGTGCAAAATTTTACCAAGCTAGAATAAAACTATAGAAGTGTAGAACTAATATAGTGCCATTATACCAAGCTAGAATAAAACTATAGAAGTGTAGAACTAAAACAACTCCATACGCTAAGAAAACTGGTTACTCCTATGGTATCGGCTATGCCTTTTTTCACAAATGAGATTTCGAAAGATCACCACTCATTTTGCCCTATTTCTTCACCGTTTCGAAATATTAGCGTTAAATATATGCAGAGCGCACTTAAGTGCTGCTTTTAAGGTTATACTGTTCTGAAAAGTTCTATGCTGTTACAAAATGTAAACGAAAACAGGGCGCCGTCTACCGGTTTTAGTAAGATCTGATAGCGGAAACGCAAAAATGGCGATGTAGAACTAAAATGGGTAATGTGATTTCAAAATTGAAACTATGTAGAAATATGAATATTTATTTTTTTGTGAACAAACAACCATAACACGTGTCCAGTTAGTAATTAATAGTATTTGAAATGAATCTGCAATTATTGCTTTTAAATCGTTTAGTTTATTAATAATAACAGAATAAATACTAATTCAGAAGTCAAACAACAACAAAATTTTTGTTGTTTGACTTCTGAATTAGTATTTATTCGGCGTGTTATTGTGTCTTAATAACAGAATAAATCTGAAGGAAAAGTAACTTACTTTTTACTGTCACGTGGCAGATAAAAATATTTTAATTTAGAGAGCAGCAATCCATTTCTTTTAAATCATTGAGTTTGTTTATTAAATTCTGATGGTAAATATTTCTCAAATGGCAACACACTTTTTTTTAGTCCAAAGGGGCTTTGTCCCTGAAGGACTATTGTTTTCGTTTTGCGATTTTGCGTCGGACTCATAAACGTCGGTTCACTTTTCAAACTGTTGCCACAAAATGTTAGAGTCCTGCATTATATTTGAAGAAATTAAATAATGAAAAATCTGCATAAATGATTGTCTATTTCTCGCATTGTGATAAAACAATGGTACATAGAGCCATCGAATTTTGAATGACGAAATCCTACTGCGAATATGGGCATCTGAAATCCCAAATTTGGAATTTGTTTTATTATAGATTTTATATTTTGTAAAACTTTAACGAATTTTTGATTTACAAACTCAATGCTTTAAAAGCGAGAAATGGCAACGTTATATATATAAAAAAAAACTTTTATCTCCAGCTTGCGAGACTGTGTATATCGGAAATTCTAAAGATATGCTTAATTTAACATTATTTTGCGATATTGCTCAGGAACTGAATTTTATGGTTTAAGTGCAAAGAACATGATATTTAATAAATAAAGGTAACACTCAAAACGTTAAAAAACGCCCCTTTGGACGTAATTTAAAATCTGAAACATTTCAGATTTTTATTTTTATTTATTTTTTTTATTTTTTTTATATTATTCAGTTTTCTGATTAAGTTTGAAACATAAATATTTCACTCTTTGCAGAATGGCAACGACACATTGCGCTTACCTCATTTTATTATAGATATTTTATCCCACCTCAAAGACGGAAAGCTTGGAAAATCGCTCCTTAAAACATTTGTTTAATGTGTCATTTACAGGTATTTCAATTTTAGAAGATATCTGAGTATTCGTAACATTTGCCGCACTTCGGCTTCAAAAATCTCCGAATTATTCCTTTTTTATTTATTTGTCTACACTGCGCAAGTTATATAAAATTACATCTGAGGACAAAAATACAAAAGATAAAAAGATGCAAAAAGAGAAAAAAGTACAAAGAGGAAGATAAATAAATAAAAATATTTAGGCAAAACAAAGAAGGAATGACTCTTTCGTCTATGAACTCGTTCGGGTCCTCATTTCCAGTACTATTTTAAACAGTAGTATTGAAGACGTCAGTGAGAGTAGAAGAGATAAGAGTCGTCTATTTCCACTTGAAGATAACAGAACTTTCAAAAACTGATATAAAGCAATATTGATACTGGTGTTTTAAAGGAATCATGGCCTGTAGTAAAACAAAATTCCTTTGATATTCTTTTTTGCGTACATTTTTGAGACATCTGAAAATATATCCCAACATGATTTCTTGCGAATTTCTTTCAACACAAATTTGAGAATATTTCTATAACCAGTAGTTCTATATTTAAAAAATATCCCTTATTTAGATACCTGAATAATGACAGTTCCCTTTTGGCTATATTTTTGTTCCTCATGCACCCTAATGATCAGGGATAAATTTCAATATAATCTCTTCATTCTAAAATTACATGAATTCTCTAGAATAAGAATTTAATAATTCATTGAAAAAAATATAGTAATGTTCAGTCATCCGTCTATTTGAATATCATTTACATCGCAAAATTTGATCACAAATTTATTAAGCTCAATCTACAGTGCGGAGATGGCAATCTGTCGTATAATTTCAAAGAAACCTTTTTTAACAGTCTTGATTTAAGAGATATCAAGTTTGTATTATAAATAATGAGTAAATATTTATATTTGAATTATTTTTTAAATTTCTGCAGTTTTGTCAAACCAATGACAGAGATTCTTCGGCAATGGTTCATAAAAATTTTATAAATTATGTAAACATTTGTTGGTGAGATTTCTCTCACCAACAAATGCTTACATTAACATTACAAAATGTGAACCAATACTGCAAAAGCATAGCATTTTATTTTGCAAGAATCGACTAATTAAGCTTTTATTGTGCGGTGTGGAAGCTTCAATTTTTGGTTTAGTCGAACTAAATTCGCATTGAAAATAAATGGATGCATTTTAAATTAGTTGTCGGTTTAAATGTAGGATGATCATAATTAAACTGATCGTACTAAGAGCATTTTTAACCTGTTATAATTAATATATTATTTGGTATACATCCTAATGAAATCACAGGAAAGATATATCTGAATGGAAAAAGATAATTTCAAGTTTTCCGCTATGAGAGAATTAAAATTATAATATTTACTTTTACAAAGCAGTACACAGAACTTAGAATTCACCTCTATCGTATGCGTTTAAATAGTAGCACAGTGTAATTTTGCTACGATTTAAACATTACCATTATTTAAACATTATTTTTATTCGTTTTTGGAATATGCGACCTTTTAAAAATCACTAAAGCCAAAAGGGAATAAGCACAAAAAACTATTTCTCGGTAAAGTAGTGTAAGCGTTTGTAGAGTCATTAGGTTATTTGAAACAGGAGATGTGAAAATGTGCACCTCGAACCTGGACTCCTCGAATACGCGCCTGAATGTGCTACCGTTACACCACGAAGGGAAGCTGGAAGAAGGGAGAAAATACCTTATATGTTTCCTTCATCTCACCATAAGCCATTAAAGGCCAGTTATCGACGTACTCGTAAAGCAGGAATCATATGCTGTGCGATGCCAGAAATTGTTGTGATACTGGCTGATAAGTATACGCCTCACAGTAAATACGAAGTGCTGTCTCTCATTTCTGAATTTCATATCTCTCAGATAATTTCTCGTAGAGTTATGGCAAAAAAGAAAACTTTTGCTTAAGTTTTGCACACTGTATGAATGTTCGTCAAAAACGTTTTTATCTGAAGGCTATGATATAAGAGCACATATTAATGAGATCGGTGTTTGATATCTGTATTCAGAATGAATTTCTTCTAAGCTATGATTTTGCTTAAAGATAAATGTTTAGATTTGTCGTGTGAAATTCAAATTTAAAATTTCATCTCAATAAGAATTTATAATAATCCATAAAATTCCTCAAAGTACGAAACAACTTCCAACATCGCATTGTAAGAGTAATCTTCCAAGAGCAGAAATTCCAATTTCAATCTCTGTTCTAGTTTCTCTCTAGAACTCTTTCACTTTTTAGCCACTTCTAGTAAAATAAAACACACATGAAAAATTAGTTATATCCAAAGACTAGAACATCAACCTGGTGGCCACCAAAATATATTTCTCAGAACCGTGACAACGTTCCTCCCTTTTCATAACGGATTCAACATCAGGAAAGAGATAGAACACCTCACTAAATTTCGGGTCCTAATTCGGCAGCATACTTTTCATACCCCTATTTACTCCACTGACAATAATCCCAAACTCTATACTTATCTGATAAAGAAACGCATATTCCAGACCGGAGGAAAGAACGCTAATTTTTGCTGAACATCAACCTAATAGTAAATTGCCTATTGCCTACTATATCCAGATTGTCATAGCCTCGTGATTAACAGTTTTGATTTAGAGAATCTAAACTCGAGAAGTACTGCTTTAGCGAGAAATTACACCTATTTGTATTAATTTTCACTTATGTTTCTTATATAGTGATATTCGTCCATTATCTTTCACCTTTCATTTCTCCCAGAAATCGGCGATTTAATTTGTGATAGGTATTGTGAAGATTTATTACTAATTCGAAAACATCTTGCACGACATCTGCAACTGTTGGTGTTGCGGAGTTCCTAATTAGGCCTTGCTCGCTCGTAAATAAAGGAAGCCTTCTTTTCCAATAGCAATAATGTAACTACCAATTTTTCAGTGGCCTACAGCTGGTTGTTACTTTCAGTGACACATTACTGCAATATCTAGTTCCTTATATTTTTATTTGTTTGGCTAACGGTTTAATCGAACATTAAGTAAAATTTATGAAGAACTGAAAGTAACATTAATGGTGTAACGGTAATTTTCCCATCATCAAGGGAAAAAGGCCCGATTTATGCATGTATCTGATAAATATTTATGTATAGTTTCTCTACAAATTTCAATTTTTATTAACAATATGTCCTTTCTTACAGCTGTTAGCCAGGATGGGCCAATGATAACTGGTGGCCGCCTAAGATACCAAGAAGGCAATGTCGTCAATGTGAATTGCACTGCTGTGAAAAGTCACCCACCCGCAGAGTTAAGATGGTACATCAATGATAAAGAGGTATATGATGTACAATATAAGCCCCTACTATTTATTGTAAATTAAAATCAATATATTTTAATGTATGCCTCCATGTAAAAGTAACAGTGAGCTATCTCAAAATCGTATCCGAAGAAAAAGACTTCTTAATAATTTAATCACATCTAACAAATAATAACCCAAGTTGGTTCATAGAACAGAAAAAGACAAAACGTAATGTCACAGATCGGAATGGGTCAGAAACTTCAACGTACAGTTTCTTTAAAGCAATTATTCAGTACTATCCATCGGGAAGTAGGTGTTTTTAATGAAAACGACTGAACTCAAGAAAGGAGTACTAATACTATGGTTTGTTAGACTATGGAATTATTCTGAACTGTTCCATCATTCCTACCTCAGTATATAAAAGTTCTGAATCAATTATTTAGTGTTATAGCATTCCTTTATGGGGGATTATTACCCTAAGAAAAAGAATAAGAAAGAAAATTTGAAAAAAAAGAAGAAAATTTGATAACAAAAGGAGCTAACCTTTTGGGTACAATAATGCATAACTTGAAATTGACAAAAGAGGGAAGATAAATAGGGAGAGAATTCAAATTATAAGGAATTTGAATTATTTTGATATTATGATTGTTTTAATACACAGACTGTAATGAACAAAGAAAATAAGAAAACAATATTTAGAAAATTTTAAATGAATTCAAAACGTATTAGAATCTTATGTTTATATAAGTTACGAGATATTTCCTTAACATGCGTTAATGCAGAGTTTTAGAATTAAATATAGCATAAATGCCTGTTCGCTTTACTTTTTTACACATATTTTGAAACACATGATGCTTCATTTAAAACGAATTTTCGCAAAAACATGAAATATTTTTATTCAATATAAATTCCTTCATTTTTTTTCACGTTAAACAAACTATATCAAGATACAAATAATTTACAAACTATATTGCAATAAAAAATTAAATACCACTTTATAAACAAAGTTTTGTTTGAAATAAAAATCCTATATTAAATTCCTGTTTTTCTTATCTTAAAGCAAACTATGCCATAAATGCATAAGCACCCTCCAAATTTTCCATTATTTGTATCTACTTTCTAATTTAAATTATTCAAACCTTTTTTCATTATTGAAGTATGAACATAATGTTAAAACTATTTTAGGCATAGCAAGGTTAAAACCGTTTTAGGCATAGCAATTTTAGGTTCAGTAAGGCGATGGTACCATGATATATTTGAGTTAAATATTCGCAAAATCCATAAATTCGTACAACATTTTCCTTTGCAATAATTTTTTTATGGCGCGTACTAGCCATTTTAGACTTTGACCACTACTAAGGCGAGAAGCGGCGGTCATTTTATTATGCAGGCACCTAATGGCATCCACTGTTACCTGCTATGAAGGGAAAGACATTTTATATCCATGCCTTCTCCGGGATTCGAATTCGGAGCGTTCGGTACGGCAGAGTCACTAACCAATTTCCCGTCTAGGCGGCTGGCAATACAATTAAATAGAAACCCCTTGAAATTGTAGTTTTTTGTGCAGAAAGTTTTATTCAGTTTTAAGACAAATCTATCGTACTTTAATCTGAATATCTCAGACGTCATATTTCATCATATCTCAGTTTGAATAGCGACATCCAAAGGGCTGTTATCTGATAAATTTTAGTTCTTTTCTTCTCACCATCCACCAAGAGAAATTAGAAAAATTTTATTCCCATTACTACATGTAGATATGAGAGCCACAAATTTATATATGCTTTACCCGAAGTTAGAGCCCGTTGACATCAGACTGTAGCCACAGTAGGCCACGCTTGATGTGATCGCTGTTACAATTATCATTCGGATATTGTTATTGATTTGTAGAAGCCCTGCCCATTTCTATAGCGAAACATGGAAAATACATGGCTTATTGTCGTCAACAAGTTGGTTAGTGTTATCGAAATATTATAGGATTAATTTTTTGAACTAAAGTTATGTCGCTAAATAAAAGCTAAATTCACCAGTTAAGGTCTAAATAGAGCAAAGAGATCACCAAACGACAGAACTATGTCGCCAAGTAAGGGAAGATGTGGGCCAAGCATCTTCATTTTGATTTAAAGGAGCATTAAAAACTTCGGACTGCATATCAAAAATTATTTAAAGCATGCGAAATTTTAACAAATAATAAAATTAAAAAGATGAAGAATTAAATACGTCTCCAACTAATATGAATTGTAAGAAACGTAAAGCTTAGATGAATATAGATGAAGACTTCAAGCTGTAGATTCAATGACAAAAGAAGGTATCTACTTTCCCCTCTCTGAAACAAATCTGAGCGCAGCATGTGATTAAACATTTCTAAAGAAGATAGTAACAAAATCGGTGAATTTCCTACAAATGCTGCAATGAGCTGTGCCCTTATGAGAATTAAGATTAGGTACAGGTTAAATAATTTACGAAAGCATTACGAGCAGTTCAAAAAATGAACTTTTGCGTTAGAATTTCATACAATCGAATGAAAATGACTTTTCATAATCAAAATGCTGAAAAAAGGTTTTATCTGTCTCTAGTTATAATAAATTAGTTAAATTTAATCAGTATTTTGAAAAAAAAAAGATTTTTCTCGTTGCTTAATATTATCATTCAGTTTTTTTTTTTTTTTTTCCAAAGGCCGTCCCAAACTGCCCAAAGACACTGAGCACTACTTAAGGCCGAAAGCGGTGATCACTTTATAATGGAGGCACCTAATAGGTGAGCCACCGTTGCCTCCTCTCAGGGGATGGACAAATACATTTATGCCTTCTCCGGGATTCCCACCCGGGCCCTTTGGTACGGTAATCACAGTCTCTAAACACTTTCCCATCTGAGCTCATTCGGTTAATGTAATCAAAATAATCATGGACGAACGTGATTAAACTAAACGGCGGTTCTATCATAACGGCTAGAAGCATCCGCTAAAGGAGGAAATATGCTGCAGATTAATAAAAATAATCAAATAATTCAAAGAACCTAGACTGTTAGTTATATGCAATTAAGTAAATCTCAAATTTAATTCCCATTCGAGGAAAAAGGCTTCTGAAATATATAGCGTCTGAATGGTTGAATCTGCCCCGTTCTGATGTTATACGGCAGGATTTTTTTTTTCTTTAAGGACACCATATTTTTTCTTTTAAAATGTAGAGTTTCATTAAAATGAGGAAATATTTCAAAGAACTTTTTAAACTAGCTGTCTGCAATGAGGTAAATCTCGGATTCAGTTTCTATTCGAAGCGAAAATGTTTACAAAGCTTCCAAATGAAATATTTTACGTCTGAAAGAATGAATCTGCCCCATTCAGATGCTATATTGAGCAAATTATTTTTGTTTTTTGTAAAAGAGGAATCCCCTATTGACTCCGCTAAACTGTGTAGAATTTCGTATGAAATAAATTTCAATTTGAATACTGCTTAATTTTTATAAAGATAGTGCTAGAATTTATTCACTAAACTTAACAGAAGAATAGAGAACAATAAACAATTCTTTATTAAAAGAGATGAACAGTGTTACGAATTTTGTATACAGTTGAATAATTTTAGCGGAATTATATGTAAATTTTAATATCTGTTGTATAATGTAACTTGAAAGTTACCAGAATGTAAACATTGGCGGAAAATACCGTTACAAGGGTACGTTCATTTAAAATTGAGGTATATGGCCAAGCTGGCTATGTTTCTTGACTACATTTTATCGCCAAAGTCAAACGTCACCAATCATGGTGACCATCTGGCGACCTGAGTAACTGTAAGTGATGTGGTTCCTGTGTAACTGCAATTCTCTCCGGCTGTACGTAACTGTAATCGTATACACCTTCCAGTAATTTAGGGAACTCGAAGATATTGGAAATATCTCGGCGGACAGAAAAGAACGATGTAAGACTGGAGACAATATCAGTTTTTAATTGAGTTCAGAGTATTAAGAAATGACCGGACGAGCTTAATAAGATGCATTTTATATTCTCTTATATTCAACTTTTGTTAGCAGTTTTAAGTTCTAACTACTGATTGTGTTCTGTCACTTATAAGAACTGTGCGAGTACTTTTATATTCAAAATTCCAATACCGTAAAGCGTTTGTATTTATTTATTTGTTTTTGAAAAGGCTTTTCATCAAGCTTTTACCGATCCTGTGTGCATTCAATCCATTACGAACCAGTACGCTCATGTAACAATATTAATATTAGCAACAATATTTTCGGTGCATAAAATTTGCTTATTTGGACTTTTTAATATTCATTTTCTGGAAATTTTATAACAGGCTAACAGAGACTACTTGAGATCTTACCTTCCCATCCGTTACCCAGATGGTCAGGAATCTACCCTCCTTGGATTGAGGTTCACAGTCCAACCACGTCATTTCCAGAAAGGTGAAATGAGACTCAAATGTATGGCCACATTCTTCAAGGTTACCAAAAAATGCAGCGAGGACATGATCATCAGTAGTCGGCAGGAAAGTCAAGGACTTACTGTTGTCATCAACAGAAATGGTAAGAAAGGAAAAAAAAACATTAGGGCTCTGACTTTGTGGTCTGTGAAAAGTATCGTCGTAGTAATTAAAATGGTTCAAAGATTGCGGAATTGTAAAACATCTTTGTATGGAATGGTAAAATTAATACATCCACAAATCATCGCATGATTATAATCTCGCAGACAAGTGAAAGACTCTGAAAGTTTAAAATTCTTGTTCGTACTACTAATGAATCCAACATTATAAAAGAAATTACAACTACTCCAACTTAGTAAAAGAAATTAATTAATAATGACCTTTAATGGTGAACTACATTCGTTTAAATTGTATTAATTGCTATATGTAATATTAGTTTTCTATTCATTTTCAGTTTTGGAGTGCTTAAAGTTCCTTTGCACATTAGCAAAAAATTATTAGTTAATTAAAAAATATGAAATACAGAGTTAAAAATATTCCTCAATTCTTCTAGTATTCACAAATCATTTTGTGAGCATGCATTTCAAGCTTTTACGATTTGAAAACACATGTCTGCGATGTTATTATCATCCGATGATGTGCAGATGCTTTATTTTTTATCACGATATTTTCTGCTGCAGTAATTTATATTTCAGAATTTTCAGAATCAGTTTTTTCCTACGATTTTGCTTTATGGCACGATGCTTTCAAGAAGCGAAATTTCTCAGTAGCGTTTTCGTCCACGATATTTTTGCCGCGATGTTCTCGCCTATTATCAAAAACTGTACCATTGGAATGAACCGCAATCCATTGCCTGTTAACTGCTCATTTCTTCAAACTAAAAGAGGTATATTAAGAGACATTAAACCAAATCACAATGTTTCGGTAATATATAGCTAACCAAGCAGATGTTTTTAAAATATTCGGGTTTTCTTTATGCAAAAGTGTTAAAATGTTTTTTTTAATTTGCACAATAAACAAAATACTTTCATTTAAAAAAAGTGAAAATAGAAAAGTTGAGCCATGCTAATTATGTAAGAAATTTTGTTAAAATTTCATGCATGGCATAATTTATGCGATTATTAAAAGTAAATTTTGTGCTACTTAAAAATTTTAAAAAATATAGGTATGGTATGATTTTCCCTTCCATTAACATTTTTGTCCGACCTCGTTCGGAAGGCTCATCTTGGCTAAAAATCTCTTTGCTTTTAATTTCATAATTTTAAAGGTCACACTCTTAGCTATCAAAAATAACTTTTCCTTTCTTGATATATTTATTAGAAGTGCAGATATACCAGTTTTTCTGAGAGACGACAAAACGGAAGCTATTGTTGGCCACAGCGGAAGTGAAAGATTAAAGGGCAAATTAAAAATGAAATTTTTGCCCTTCTCTGTGTTATTAGTTAACTAAATAATTTTAAGCATTTCAGTTAGTCTGGAAAATCTGACAAAGTACTTTTATTATGTATTCTGTTTCATTTTTCGTTTTCTTTTATTATGTATTTATTACGTATTTTCGGTTGGCAAAGTGAATAGTTTTGTATATATGTCATGTAATCTGAACATTTTAAATGCAATTTTTGACAAATTTTGTTTTATGATTTATGTTCACAGCAACCCTGATAACTCTAAGAGTTCCTTATAAAATCAATTGAAATTTTGCGCACAAAGTTTGTATACTATTATGCATGATGTAGACTAAGAGTTAAAAAATTAGCCTTACTGAATTTAAATTATATCACTTTTCGTTCAATAGTGTGTGTACGTTTTAAACATTTTGTGTGTTAAATAACATATTTAACCATATAGTACTAGTGAATCAATATTTTCCAGTTATTCTACTTTGCTGTATGCTTATGGTTAATATACGAAACATGAAGTGAAAAAATATGTCTTTATCGTTGTTATTTTCTTGTCAATGATGGTTGATGTTTTTGTTAGTTTCGATGTAAAAATTTTCAGCTTTTGCATGAGTTTCACAAAATAATGAATTTTTTATGACTTTTGTAAGAATTATATTTAAGCGTAAGTGCACTTCAATAAAACATCTTATAAATTCAGAAATATTACAATCATTTTGAAAAACTCCTATCGAACGAGGCCGTCTACCGTAATATGTAACCTGAGCAATTATTCTCTTTTTCACTGAATACCAAACAAATTTACATCAGTTAAATAATTTCGAAAATCAAGGCAGTAAAAGGAATTAAAAGTTCTCATAGGAAGTAAAAGGTCTTAATATGTGTTTATATTAAAGCACAAAAACATTTAGAAATGAAATCAAAAATCGGCGTTTTTCTTCAATTGAGTGGAATATTCATAGATATTTTCCTTTTAAACGTACGAAAAAGGGAAATTTACATGAGAAATATCCATAAAACATAGCTCGACTTGTAAAACAGTTGGGTATAAAAGAATCACCCCCTAATTAAAATTGCATTTTCGGAAACCCCTAAAATGAGGTAATAGTAAAGTAAAATAATGAAACACAAAATAATTGAATGGATTAAAAGGTATTTAAATAAATTTAATGCCTTTATTTTAGTCAACCTTTTTCTTAAAGCAAAATCTATTTCAAATAAATATCACGATTTTGTCAACTAGCAAATTTTAATTTTGATATTTCTTTCAGGCGCAGATGGTAAGAATACTATTCAGACCCTTCTGTGGCTTTTGGCTTATGTGGTCATCTTAATGTGCTTGCGGTAGCAGAGCAAAAGCATTGAGAGCCCCATTCATCATTTCACTGCTGTGCAGTGGATATTGTTATGACTCTGTGATTGGAAGTGTGTGTTCCTCCTCCCAGTACCAAGTATTCATCACACAAAACATCATGATATTGTTGGCTGAAACCAATCTATAGAACCTTATTGTAGATAAACCAACGAGTGTTAACTGAGCCTTCCACGAAACCTGTGAATGTCTCACCAGTGATTGTGGAAAATGTCTTAAAAATACGTGTAAAGCATGGACTTTCTGCACTAATACAAATTTGTGGGATTTAAAAACTCTATAAAGATCTTATGGACTACAGTGCGGCAGTTTTAGAGGCTGAGTATGTTTTGCACCCTGTATATATGACCAAATATAAAACCTTTTTCTCTTTCTTTTTGGAAAATATTAATCTTCTTGTTTTTCGAATATTGTGTCTCATTATTTTCTGCATGGTTTTGTTGTCTCATTTTATAAATTTGAACAAACAATAAAGTGTCATAATCAAATAACACTACCTACTTCTTCGGTGAAGAAATAAATAAGGAAGTCTAAATTTAAGCATCTAGTCATCATTTAAGCACTTGACAATAAACTGGCTTTACATCTTATCTTAATACGCTTATTTTTAAACTTAATCTTAGCTTCAAAATCAACGTCTTCTCTTTAGGAAATACAGCATTTATCTTTAGAAAAAAAATCCATGCTCTAGAAATCAAAACTCAGCTTTGCACTACCATACATATCATCATTATTTTGGGATCCTGTAACCATATCCAGTCTTAAAAAATTCAAACTTTGCAAGAGAGAAAGAACATAACGTAAAACCTAAGGTAAAACTATAGCTCTATGCGATTCATAGCCTAATCTAAAAATTCTCATTGGTAGCCATAACATATTTGCGGTTGCCAGCAGTGGACAGCTTCACTATAAAAGTCAGACCATAAACTGTTTTTCATCAAAATTACGAATATCTGCAATTTAAAAAAAATGTCTAACATACTTCTGTGTTGTAATGGCCGTTGTGAAAGAAATCATCGAGTGCAAACTGCGAGGACTGAAAAAAAAAAGCCAAAGAGAAGTTCAGATAAATATAGCAAATACATTATAGAGAAAAGTGAAAGGTAATAAAATTACACTTATCTTTGTTCCTTACGTATAACTTCTCACCTGCACTTATTTTTTCGTATAATTTCTGATAGGCTTCTTGTGCGCATTTTTTAAAATTGTTGGAACCTACAGGTAATTTTTTTATGCATTAAGATAATAAAAATTCTGCGAGGTGTAACTTAAGGGTATGCCTAATAGATGTAGTATTTTTTTCCCATGAAAAATGTTTGGTTTATTTGATCATAACAAAGCACAGAAAGGCTATCTTCCAAATGGGAAGGATGCCTTTGCAGAGGGTATTCTAATGGTAACTTGCTCTTATACACGTTAAACGTGGGGAAAACGATGGAAACACCAATATAGCCAGCTCATTTGCCGAGTTTCGAATTCCTTCAAGAAAAAGGAAAACTTCCTTATTATTATGGCTTCCATTGTTTAGCAGGTGTCAAGATTATTAACAAGTCTTAATTAAAGAAAAGCAAAAAAATTATGGTAAACATATAGTTTGCCATTGCGCTTTGTGGTTGCGATAGCTCTGTGTTACTTTTAATATAGTGTGAAAAGCATCTGTGGCTGATAATCCAAAGATTTAGCCAGATGTAGAGGAATTGACGTTGTTATCTTTGTTGCCTGAATTTAAAAAGCGAAAAACATGAATTTTCACAGACTTAAAAAATTCTCGAATGTACAGCTAGATTCAAATATAGAGGAACAAACTTCTAGAAGGGGTACAGAATTCGAATCGGAATCTCATAGCAATGTTGGAACACAGAGCTATCGCAGGATTGGAAATGCAATCCTAAGAAGATAAGGGGGTTGTTAGGGGTTGTAGCAGAAAAACCGTCAACATCAGTCCGGAAAGGTATTAGAATGGAAAGCTTGAAGGTTTCCTAATGTGGCACCGCTTGGAATTTCGAGTGTTTTGAAGTACGCCGGGCATTTGTCAGAAGTTCCCGGTAGCCTTGAAGCTGTGTCATTTCAAAAGTTCGAGATTACATGCCTTACGCCAAGTTGCTAAATATTGGGGACCTTTATCATCCGGAAAGTCAGGACCTATTTTTATAATCTTTAAATGTCAGTTTGCGATCATGATGAATGCCAACAAAATTCTTCCCTACAACCTCTGATCAGCTGGTTGTAGGGAATAATAACATACATATACTGCATAACAATCCAAACATTCACCGTTGTGCAGGCTTTACTACGACGACGCTCGGACTTTGGAACCGTTTCAAAAATACCCAACATGTCAGCTGTCTACGGAGATTCTTACTATGAAGTTGATGTTAGAGTCAACGGGCGTTTCGTAGACCATCGTTTTCCGGATCATCACTTGAAGAAATGCAGACTAAATCGGGTGATCGTAGAGGTCATGGAACGGGTTCTTCTCGCGCAATCCACTGCTGCGAAAACGTATGGTTCAAGTAATCCCGTACGGTATGGACAAAATGAGCTGGAGCCTCATCGTGCTGGTACCACATTGAACGCCGAACAGACTTAGAAACATAGTCGAGTAATTGTGGCAGCACCGCCTCCAGAAAAATGCGATATCTCTGACCATCCAGTAGAGGTTGTAAGAATAAGTAATGGCCAATAATAGCCACCCAAGCATTCACGGGAAACAGTCATTGGACAGTTCGTGGGTTGTCGTGGTTTTACACATGAGCATTGTCTAGACTGAAGATTCCTTCACGACAGAAAATGGCTTTTTCCGTGAGAACAATGCAGGATGGAGACGCCGGGCTCTGGTTACATTTCTACACGTACCGCTCGCGAATTCCACGCGTCGAAGATAATGCTCCGATTGCAATGACTGGATCCTTTGCAAATGATATGGATGGAAACGCTTCTTGTTTAATGTGCGCCATACACTTGACTGCCATCCTGCAATATCTCGGGCAATATTAGCTTCCTTGTACCAGGAGTTTCTTCCACTCGACGCAATACCTCATCTTGTAAGGAGGGTGTACATTTCAGTTTTGGCCCCCATGTATCATGCTTGCTCTTGGAGAAAGTCCGTGTTCACACTCGTTGCAGTGCAAACTCGGAAACATTCGGTAATTCGGTGCTTGCTTGTTCGGGTGTCGTTTGGTACACAATCGTGCAGCAGCCCTTTCATTGCAATGAACTTCACATTACACAATGTGCATGATCGCCATTTCCGTGTTCGTAAACCGCTCCATGCTCTCCGTACGCGGTAGGAACTTGAAATGTTTAACGCTACATTCCAGATGGAAATCTGCTGAACAGCGCTCTCAAACGTACAAAACTGTAAATGGTAAGAGCTAGGCACATAGCTAGAAAATGTCGAGTAACTTTTTTATCGGGAAGGCCTTATCTTATTTTAAGCTTATGGTGCTTAAATGTAATTTGCTATCATAATTTATATTCATATTTTTCATCCTAACACATCTGCGGGCGGCTCCTATTATCCCGCCTATCTAATTAGGACCGAATTTCCGACCCTGCTCTGCTATGTAACTTTGAGTCTTCTAGGTGTACTCTATCCGTCTAGAAATTTTGTATTCATTTCAAATTATGTATGTAAGATAAAAATATATGAATCAAAATTATAGATTAAACTATAAAACATTAATTCTTCCTCTCTATTCTAAAATCGTAATAACTTATCTGCATTGCGTCATTCAAATTAATCATGCGATCTTATGTAACCGTTAACACCAGATGCCTTTTGACGACCAATCACCGAATTGTAAACCAAAAGTTTTCTCTTCGCGTGCTTCCATCTTTCATAACTACGCACTTCAGCTTTTGCCCTCTACTCTGCTAAGATGTAATTTCGCTGGCTTGCTTTCTATCTCAACAATATCAAAAATGTAAATCTTCTGTGGAAAGGCACGACTAGAGTGCCAAGTGATTGTGGCCACAAATATCAATTGGAAATAAAAATGGAATTAAAACTGCTTCGACTGCCAAGTTCTTTAGATATTACCAAGTTAGCATTACTAGCATACTACGCAATCAAAAATCTTCTTCAATATGGGTCTAATCAAGCATCGACACTGTTCCGGCTTTTCCTTGTTTTGCTCTTATTATTACAATTAAGCCGGTAAGGATAGTTTCCTGCAGCCTGAAACCTCAATGGAAAATTTAATTCAGCTCTTCAAATCATCGTTTTGTGATAAATCCAAGATAATGTGAAAGAAGTGAATCATCAAATTTGTTTTTTCAGTGTTTAAAAAATAACAGATCATTCTTCTGCTGTGGTGTTTTGCAAGTGTGCTCAAAAAATAATCACGCGTAGTGTTTACAGATTGAAAGTAATCTCTCGATAAATTGAGAAGTTCGAATGCCTAGAAAAAGAAAATCATCAGTGAGTTACCGTTTAGGAATTGAGCATTACAGCGGGTCAAGGTCGATCTGAGTTAGTGTTTTTCAAGTATGTGCCATAGAAAATTATTTGCACTTCCGCTTTTTCAACAGCTCAAAAATTATTACATTTGTGAATCTAGCTCAGGAACTAAATTATATTAATTGTTACGAATTTCTAATGTTCTAATATTCTAATATGTTCTATAGTTTCATTTAAACTTTGATTAACAATTTCTGCAATTTGTTTAAGAAAATATAAATCTTGTTCATTAATTTTTCTAATTTTCATAATTATGTAGGCAAATTAAGTAATTAATTTTAAGTTATTTAACTATTCATAGGGAAGGGTATTAAGATAAGTTTTTATGTTTTTGAAATTTTTGTTGAGAATTTTTAATACGATATTATTTAATACGAATTTTTAATACGCACATAAATATTTATGAAATAATGATTATAAAGCTTTATTTATTAAATTTAAAAACTTCATGTTTTCTATACATTATTAAATAAAATACAGCATTTATTAAAACTTATTTCATTTGGGAATTATAGTCTGCATTTATGTATATATGAATAAAATCATAGGAGCCTCAGCTAAAAAGATATTTTGAAGTCTCAATAAAGAGGTAAGAAATTCACATCTAATAAGCTGTTTAAGTCATCTTAGTTTGTATTTTTTTTCCCCGAGTTCCACTTAAAATGAGAAGTTTACGTTCTGAAATCTTATTCTATACGTTTGTCGTTGACAGTTCTAAGCCACGATGTCTTGCAATTACCACAAAAGCTCAAAAACTTGGAAACTGAAAGAAGAAAAGAAAATTAAATACTACAAAAAAAGCGTAGAATTAAATCTGGAAATCTTATCCTTCGCTGGTTTCAAAAGTGGATTTTGCTTTCCTTTTTTTCTGCGCTTTCTGTTAAAAAATTTTTTGCTAAAGCATTTGGGCAT